CTATTCTCAATCTAATTAATCTAAAGACTTTCAACTGCTTTTAAAAATTAGCATTCCTGGGGCGCCTGGGTGGCGCAGTCGGTTAAGCGTCCGACTTCAGCCAGGTCACAATCTCGCGGTCCGGGAGTTCGAGCCCCGCGTCAGGCTCTGGGCTGATGGCTCAGAGCCTGGAGCCTGTTTCCGATTCTGTGTCTCCCTCTCCCTCTGCCCCTCCCCCGTTCATGTTCTGTTTCTCTCTGTCCCAAAAATAAATAAACGTTGAAAAAAAAAGAAAATTGTTAAAAAAAAATTAGCATTCTTTGGTCTACTGTACTTAATTAATTAACACAGACCACTGACAGTTATGATTGTGATCAGAAAACCAGCAGAAATACAAGTACAGAAGATGACAGAAAAAAAAACACTACTCAAATGTACACTGACATGTTTAGATTTTAAAACTACATATCAGAAATATTAAAAACATTTTATAATATAAATCAGAATAGAAAAAAAATGCTAGAACAAGTCTGGAAATTAATCTCTAGTTCCTAACAACTTTTGTTTTTAGATGAAACTCTTCAATTCTCAAAAAATGTGGCATAAGTATTTAACGTAAAACTTTAAGATACTTGCCAGCAAGTATCTTAACTCATCTAGACCTTACTCCAATTTTATTCAATAGTTTATACTTGCTACTTTACAGAAAATTCCAAAATTTAGGCTAAAGATAAAGTCATAACAGAGAAAGAATACCTCAAAAATACAAATCAGTAGAATTCTCAAAAAACCTCCATTCATCACTAATAGCAATTAAAACGGTTCCCATGTTTGGACCCTTTTATTTATTTATTTTCATGGCTCTTAATAAGGGAAATGAGAGATACCAAAAGAAAAACAAGAATAGAGCAAACTGTCCAGACTTTTGTGTCTAAATATTTCTAGAATGCAAGGGAATGTGGTAACAAAAGAAAATTAAGACACTTCTCCATCTCCCTTTTCCTAGATTACACACAGAGCTGCTATTCCTTCAACTTTTTTTAATGCCACCTGCTTCTTCCAGGCCTCCCTCTTACTGAGCCCCTTGCTTTCTTCTATTTGCATGGGTAGGGGAAATTTGCTTCTATGAAATCAGCCTATTGCAGGTGTTCTTACAGGTAGCATCACAAAATCTTACCTGACATATGGGAAGTGGACAATGATAGAAAGAGCTGAAGGAGGGATGAGCTATATCGTATTGACAGAGTCTTTTTACATTGCGTTTTGAAACAAAATGGCCCCTCATGCATATGGATTATAAGGTTATATGCTCTCATTTATTGTGAATGGCTATGTAAGGTCTATTTACAAAATAGTGAGGCACTGCTCTCATTATTTTACGGGTCTTACTGCAATCATCAATCGCCAGCCCACTTACAATTCCCGGTATCCCCTTATAGAAGGAACTACATAAATCTACCCAAATCTGCCACCACCAGGACAGCCTACCCTCCTCCATCCACACGAAATATATAAATTCAAGCTATATATGAAATATACACAAACATCTAGACAATTAAGAAACACTGAAGAATCAGACATGGTTTTTTTTTTTTT